TAAAGGATTATTGACAAGGTTTTGAATCACTGCTTCACAATTTTTAGGATTTTTACTTCTTTAGTCATTGTTGATCACATTATTTTATACTACTTTCTGCAACATGACTTTGAAAAATCACTAGGTATGACTTCGAATTGCATCTGAGCTACAGAGAAAGCATTTGAAGTAAGGAAACAGAAGTAGACTAAATGATTTTGTCACTGTCAAATATCAACATATTGTGTAATTGTATCTTATTGCTAGCCTACCCAGAAATTCAGTTAATGCTGCAATTGGGTAAAATAAACAAGCATCAATCTATCTATCTAAAATATTGTTCATGCACTAAAGTGTTTTTACGCTACCCGTGAGTTTTACAGGTTCTTACACCGAGGATGAGCCAGATTTTCCTTGGCAAAAAAATCTCATTTTACAGAAAAAGGTGTCTGGCATAAACAAGGTTGAAAATTTGAAGGACCTTTCAAGACCTAATAAAGAAATCAAGTACTTTGTAGGGACATAAACCGAATTCGAGGACTTTTCAAGACAACTAGCAAAATTCAAGACCTTTTCAATATTATATGAACTATGTTGTAAGAGACCACCTCCTGTAAGCGACCACTGAGTCTTTGCATTTTTGTTGGTTGCTAAAAGGAAGTTTGACAGTACCATATTTGGAACGAGAAAAAGACATAACTGACCAATCAAACTTAGTAAAAGACGGGACGAAATTTAATTTCACGTTGAATGGGCGACGATGGGGAAAAAATTGGCAAAAGCCAAGTAAGCTTTGAAAGGTTTAAACCAGGAAGCTTACCAAAATACTTAGCAGGAAATTGGCATACCACAAGGGCCAAATGTAAGAAAATGAAACCCACTGATGATTGCACAACTTCTTGAAATTGTCACTCAAAAAAACGATACCTCGGTGACACTCTGAGCAGTAAACTTATACTGCAAATAGGCTTTTAAAATTCTCATATTAAAAGTCTAGAATAAACAGCAAAACATATTTTCGAATAAAATTCATTAGTTGCGTATCGAGGAGTGTCTAAAAACTGAACCTTAAAGTA